CGCTGGTGACCTCCTAAAGCAGCGTGGAGCCAGGGAGCCCTGTGAGACCCTGTGCAGTGCACCCCGGGACCCCAGCCCAGGAGGGATGGGTCTCCTGCAGCACCCGTGGGTCCTGGAGGGGAGATTTCTTCACTGCAAGAGTGATCAGGCATTGGAACAGGCTGCCCAGGGAAGTGGTGGAGTCACCATCCCTGGAGGGGTTCAAGAAATGTGTAGATGTGGTGCTTCGGGACATGGGTTAGTGGGTTGGGTGGTGTGGTGTTGACGGTTAGCCTTGATGATCCTTGAGGTCTTTTCCAGCCTTAATGATTCTGTGATTCTGTGTTGCTCTGGACAGCAAGAGGAGGTTATCTGCAGCAGCCCCGTGCCTTCTGGCACTGGATGGTGGGGGAAGCTGGGGACTGAGATCTGCTCCCAGGTAAAGGGCACACTAGGGAGCTAGCACAGAGAGAAGAGGGAGAGGTTCAGAGACGGATGGGGGAGCTGGGCAGGCAGGAGGAAGGAAAGGAGGAGGAGGAGCTGAGAAAGACACAAGGCTGATGGAGGGCAGCGTGTGCTGCTGGGACACAGTAGACCATTGCCACAGAAGGCACACATCAGGGTAGAAACAAGAAGCAGATCCCTCCTGACACCCAGAGGCTGCTGTGCCCTTGTCCCCGGGGCAGCCAGCCTACCCCCGCCGGCTCACCTGGACTGGAGGTGGAAGATCTCCTCGGCCAGGTAGCAGGTGCCCTTGAGCAGCTCCCAGATCTGCAGGGCTGCGAAGTGGGAGGTGAGGCCGCGAGCGATGGGCACGAGGGGCTCCCCGGTGAGGTACAGCGCTGCGGCACACAGAGCCAGGAGCAGGTACGCGGCACGCTGCGCTCGCCCTCCCCGGGCCTTGGGAATGAGCACGGTGCTGGGGTGGCTCGGCCACCGCGATTCCCGAGACATCTGCAGCAAAGAGTGGGGGTCAGTCCCCAGCGCCCACAGCAGCGCCGTGGGGAGTGGAGAAGGGGGGGACATGTGCACATCCAGCACTCACTTAGCACCCCAGAGCAAACCACCGAGCCGTCCCTTCCTTTGCACGTGTCTGAAATGCTGCTGCTCCAGGGGAGGTTCCCTCGCACACTGCCCAGGCCACCTCAGCGCTGTCCCCTCTGCCCAAATGGGGCAAGACGGAGCCTGGGTGGCCACCCAGCTCCCAAAGAGATGCCAACCCTACGCCAGCCCTCCCTG